ATTGAGCACTTCAACTTCCATCTCCTAAAGTAACTTTTGAACAGTTCTTTGTTTGTAAAATAGTGAAACAGTTTTAATGCTTTGATTATTTGTTAAATTTTGATTTTGCATTTAACAGAGCCCCCTCTCTCTCACCCCCATCTTTGCTTCCCCTCACCCACCCACCCCGCCCCCCCTCCGGTCTATGGGCATGTAGGAATGGGATGAAGCTAAAACTGTGAGTAGGCCTGAGTATTCCTCGAAAAAACCATATTCGTATCTTAAGCCTTTAGCCCCTTAGAGTGACCAGCATCTAATTTCTCCTTACAATGTCACCCCCAATTCACACATCAAGGTCACAGGAAGAAAGAAAATGATCACCAACTAATGAAGCTCTTGATTAGTACACAAATTCTCCTCGTCTTCTCTTTAGGAAATGTATAGAGAACAGTGTGGAGAATATTCGTACTGATGTTAGGATGTAAAGGGTTAAGAATTACTCAGTAGCTTAGGTAAGGTTAAATTCATCGGAAGTTATCGATCTAGAAAACATGAACAAGTTTAGCAGACATTTTCGAGATTGTTTCTGTAAATTGATGTAAGTTACAACCAAGGAAAACATCTCCTGTAAGTGTAAGACGATATTTATTCCTCGAGAGGGTTCAATTTTTGCTAGATTTATTTAAAGTTTTGTATAATTGCCGGGTGTAATAGATAATTCTTATGGCTAATTAGGTATGTGTCTCTCATGACCTAAGAACGAAATAAAGATCAGATTTTTGATGTATGAAGTACTGTTAGCGTCCGTTCGACCTGGAACTGTTGACATAATGCTAAAGAGGATTTTCAAAGTGAGCAAGCAATTTGTGAGCGGCTTTTCCATTGTCGTATTGGACCTTTTGTGTGATTTACGCACCATGTATGCAGTTTGACGTACTAACTGAATGACTTGGCTTTCTAGGAAATAAGGAACCATGATTTTTTGTGGACTATTGAATTTTTGGGCATTTGTTGGCGCGTCTCAGTCACAATTCGGAAGCTGAATAAAGCATATTTTCGATTTGCCCCTGCCTCTGTAATCGGTTATTTTAGAAATACCATATCAACTTTGTTTTTCGCGGCTTTCTATAAATCAAAATCTATACTGGGCTGGTTGTATATGTGTATGAGGTGCTTGTGTACGCGATATGACTTCATTGTGTGCCTTGATGCGTCTTGCAATATATAATTTTAATACTTGAAAGTGCACTTTGTTTTGAAGGGAGTCGCGTCTTCTTTTGTTCAAGTGCTCAGTGCTGCAACTTAGTTCCACTTTGTTCTTTCTCGTCTTGATTCTCGACGCATTGGCCGATCAACAGAGGCAATGCATGGCGGAGGTAGTCACACCCAAAGCTGTTTTGAAATCGGCCTCGTGTGTTTGTTTGGTAAAGTTGTGTGCTATTTCAATTCCTGATATTTGAACACAGTCTTGAAATCATTTCAGGTGTAATATTCTTGGCTGAGCTGCCGCCCAATTTCCAAATTACAGTGCCAAACACCAAACCACCTTTGACTTTTTGTATTGGTCTTTAGTTGTAGAAAGCTTTTCGTATTTTTGTTTCTAACGAGAGAGAACACAATGTTATCTGGCTTTGATCATCATGTGTTTAGCCTATTTAAATTTATTTCATAATTACACGAGCAAGTTGAATCTGACAGTTCAACTCACAACCCATAGTCTGCATTTAATGGATGGTGGAAAATCTATTTCCAAATGAATAAGAAAAAAAATAGACAAGACAAATTTGTGATTGGAATTTGAGATTTTCCGGGGAGGTTGCAAATCAGGGCTAACAATAGCTACATTAAATGCAGACTATGCTTGAACAAACCCTAGGCAGAATTTGGTAAATTATAATTACGTTAAGTGCTAATTAATCATTGGTCGCAAGTTGAAGGGGCTGTGTCCTTGTGCAAAACTTCTCCGAAATTTTCAAAGATTTTCATTCGCAACCCTGCCAATCTTCCTTATCAATAGCGATCTTCCTTTGTCAGTTCGGTTTCTCGTTACCTCCTTGGTGTTTTAGCTTTGGAGGTGATTTTGCGTGGAGTTCATCCAGACGTAGCTTTTGTAAGTACATTATCACGGCCACTGAATATCGTCAACTTTCAAAATACTCTTGGAAAATGGAAAGGCTCGCCTACTCTTTTCGTGGTTTGGGTTTGATTATCCAGCGTGGCTTCACATGTGGGATTGGTTTGTTGTTAGCCAGGCTTCTCCTCGCTCAGAGGGTTTTTCTTTGGGTTGTCCGGTTTCCCTCCTTCCACAAAAACCAACACCCTTATTTACAATGTCGACAAGGAAAGACAGTGCATGAAGTGCCACACTAAAATCCAATTAATTTATTCCATTATCTACTTAGCTTTAATTAGAGATAATTCACTGCTGAAAATTTCTTATCTTTCAAAAGAATTTAATCATATAGGAGTTACTGTATTGTTCTGCAATCAACCCCAAAATTTATAGACTAACAGATTCGACAGTGGGGGAGCCGATCCTGAAAAAAGGCCGTTAATGCTGGCTAAATAGAGCTCGCTGGTGGAACCCTAGCTATAGTGGCTTTTTGTCTGGCTATTCTGAGGAGCAACTCTCTTGTGTACTCCAGTGAAAAATGCAACGTTTTTTGTTTTTCTATATTTTTTTCACGGCTCTGCCGAACAACAATTAATTTTTTTCCTTCTTCATTTTTTTCGGCCGAAATCGCCAAACCGACATAGGCTTCCGCAAAGCGAAACACGAAAATATATTTGAGATCAGGCTTAACAGAAGTTCCGTCAAAATAGATCTTCATTTTGATCCTGAACTGAGTAGACCACAGCAATCTCAGAATATTTTTGTTCTTTATTCACAGCCGCAGTCGCCAAACCTACACAGGCTTCCGCAAAGTGAAACACGAAAATAAATTTGAGATTAGGCTTAACGTAACAGAAGTCCCATCAAAATAGAACTTTATTTTGATCCTGAACCAAGTAGTCCACAGCAATCTCATAATATTTTTGTTCTTTATCCACGGCCGCAATCGCCAAATCGACACAGGCTTCCGCCAAGCAAAATCCGACAAGAGCTTTGAAGATATTTGAGATTAGGCTTAACAGAAGTCCCGTCAAAATAGATCTCTATTTTGCTCCTAAATTAGTCCACAATACAAGTTCCAGACAACAGTCCTGCCCACCACTTGCTCTTAATCCAAACATAAAACATATAACTGAAGGAATATGAGTCGTTCTGATATAATCCCCAACATAACATCGACTTCTAGAGTACAGCTCTGCCCTCCTAAACGCCCTCTGATCCAATAAAACGCATATTTGCGGAAATGTAAGCATGAGCCTGAAGTAATCCCCTCTCTGTCCGCTAGCAAAACTCCCCACCATAATTGTAATAAGCACAGGCGTAGAAATATAAGAATAATAATACTGTCATAATCCTGTTAATAAAAGCTGGATCGCGAACTCAGTGCTTTAATCTCCTTACGACATTCCGTATTTTAATCACGGCAGACTTAAGAATACTATCAGTCAGATTTCTGCACACGCAAACCAATTTTTTGACCTTTTTCGTCCTGATTTCGCATGCGAAGAATTAGAAAAGTAGCGAAGAACGCCATATGTTGGTGCCTCACTCTGCTTTGAATTTGTCTGGGATAAACAATCGATAAAAACACCTTCCCTTTGCAGAGAATCGAAATCGAGAAATCGAGGAGCCGAAGGATGGTAAACCCTTTTCAAGACTTCAAACCATCAAAATTCAAATAGAGGCCTGGTTGAAAGGTCGGCCCACGAGCGAGATCTGAAAAAACAAGCTGATATGTGCCGCTGTATGGGATGGCATTTGTAAGCGTGACTTCGGAAGAAATACATTTTCGGAGAATACTTTGGCATAAGTTTGCTACAAAAAGTATGAAAAAGACAATACTGTATATTTGCAACGACCACGTTCCCTTCGGTAACCTATTTTCTGTGAATAAAAGTTGAGAGGCGTATTAAGATTTCAGAACTAAACGAACGGTAAATGAAAAGCTAAAGGTGTTAAAATTTATCCATGTAAGGCAGCGAGAGCAACATGGTGCAGAGAACCTGAACAAGTTGTATTAGGGATCCTCGTCAGCCGGCCATATCCAATTGTGCGCTTGTACCGGGAAGTATTCCAGTTTTATTGCCATTTTGCTCAAGTAATTTCTCTATTACGGTTCTCAATCTTAGCACAACATTGCAAATTGCAGCTGAGCCCCTTCCAAGATGTTAATTGTCGTAATTGCCTCATATCATTGGCAAAGCTTTATCTTAATTCGCCATATCATAGGTTTGTGTCGATTATAGAACAGAAATTTCCATAGTTCGCCATACTGAACAAAAGTAGAGGCGCAGGTCGACCAGAATTGTTTTGGAAGCGATTTTAATATTTAAACTTAACGAGCTGTTTTTGACCTTGATGGATTTCGACCTTGTACCACTGTATCAAGCACTATATGTGTTACTTAGATAAAAATCAACATGAAGAGATTACGCAAATCACTCCAATTCATCTTGTATTTGACTCCTGTTTAATACAGATTTAATCGCCTCTGTGTATTAAACGAGGTCTAAAAGCCAAAAAAAAAAAAGCCAAAATCTAAGACGAACCCTTTATCATTTTTAAAAGTGACTGCATTTCATTTGGGGTTTTTGTTAACTTCGTTTCTGGTTTTAGTTAGTATTTGAGATCACTGGGCTTCCGTCTGTTTCAGTTGGTGACAAATGAAAAATATTGCGCGGCTAGAGGAAATATGGTGGTGAAATGAGATGTCCTTCCGAAATTACATTAACCATTCTTGCAGGAAGTGTATTTGTCACCCAGTTGTACCAAAAAGGAAGTTGGCCTCAAATGTAATTAGTACAGATCCTCCTAGAAGCTAATGCAATGGTTTCCTCAATTTGGCGCGAGGGGTAAGATACCAATACAAAACAAAAATAACTCGGTGTAGACTCGGTAAGTCAGTGTAAATCAGAGCTTAAGGGTTTGTTAAGGGTGCACTCAGGCGAAGCTATTAATGATACTGTAAAGTTTTTCATTCTTGGCCGTGTTTCTAAATATGACCTTTGCATGTTGCATATCTTTAATTGCCTCTTCACATCTGGATACTCTTTCGAATTAATTAGAGTACTTTAATTTTCATTTAAAATTCCCAGCACGTTCCTCGTTCGAATTGAGTGCACTCTTCACTGATTTCTACAGATATTACTACATCAATCGTTTTTCAAACGCAAAGTTTTCGGCTGGCACAATTTCCTGACATAGATGTAAGAGGGGCGGCATTTCCGACCCTAAAAAGATATCTCGTCTTTGAGTGTTTGTGCGGAGCTTTATGCTAATTCCGTTTAAAATTCTTTCTTGAGCTTTGTCGGTTGTTTTAACAGGGTGGGTAAGCCAATCACAACTAAAGTAGTTCTATTATCACGCTTCACCCAATACATCGTGACTTGGTTTTCCGGCGTTATGCTTGACTTGGGGTAAAATATCGCTGAATTTGCTACTGTGGGTTTCTTCTTGTTTTTACTCACTTGAGATTTCCACGTTGGTTTCCTTTTGGTTTCCTTTTGGTTTTCCGCCACCGCAAATGCGAAAACCAGAAGATGCTGCTTTTTTTGCCGCCGTGAGTGTTTTGTTGTGATCGATGAAAAGACGGATTTTCCCGGATAAGTCATTTTCACAGAGATATTGTACGTCTTTGCTCCAAAAGTAAATTTCAGGCAGTCGCGTTATCTCGCATCGATCAACCCGTCGTCTCTTTCTCAACGCGGTGCATGCGGAAAGAGTTCGGAACAGAAACCCGGTGAGCGAAAAATGCCCGCTCACGTACGTTCTTCTATTTCTCCGCGTTCACTCAATGGATTCGATTCTGACGGAAAAACAAAAAGTTTTGGCCACCGCTTCTCCTTACGGACTTAAATTTGAGACAAACTTATAAAATAGTTGGTGTCTCCAGGTCTGGCGAAATGAAAAACTCCTCATTATACTGATTTCTACGCTAAATTTCATTCATTGATTCAGACATAGATTTTTTTGTGTTATAGAATTCGACGGATACCAGGGCTGGCGTCGCAACTCGATGCGAAGAATATGATTATCTTGGAAAGGCGGAAATCACTGCTTGAATTTTTAATTTCCAAAGGATTTTCTAAGCGTCGCCGACGTTTGCATAGATTAATCCTTCTTGTAAGACTAGTACAACCGAACAAAAACTAACTAGTAGCTTTCTTTTGTCTACAGATTTAAGCACAATTTAAACTTTACAGCCTTCTCAGGAATAGGTGTGAACTTTTGAAACTTCATCAAGGTGACTTCTGCCCTTGGACAATACTCCTCGAGAACTGCAAGGTCATTATTCACTTCGGGTGTTTCCTCCGCGGTTTCGATTTACCTTCCATGTTCTTGTCATAGCTTCATGCCAAATTTACACTCATTATAACAGCCCGAATGCAGTCAAAAACGTTCAGATTTCGCTTCGCGTGACAAAACCGCTCATGTGATATAACTGAGCCGGCAAATGGGATTTGGGCGGTATTTTGAGATGACGCCAGAAATTTCGACACATCACGCACACTGTGGCAAATTTGCAGAGTCATTGTGTTAAATTAGTTGTTTTAAGCGCCACGAGAACTCCTGATTGAAAATACACATGTCTCATGTAAAAATATGCCGCCTTTATGACTTCCTTCCATTATACAATTTTCATGGCAAATGCTGAAGGAAACTATTGTGTAGTTGGCTAAGACGCTCTCAAGTTTTGACGTTTATCTGATTTACGGCATAAATCCGTATAGAATATATATATATATATATGTAGCGAATGTATTAAATTCGTATATTGATAGATAAAATAATATCGCTTTTGTCCAGCTTTGCTATTGATCCATACTCTATTTAGTTTAGATAAATGGCCTTTTCGATTTTCGATATCATGGACAGCTTAAAATCAAAGCACTTTGTAGCTTTTATGACAAAAAAGAATGAAATAAAAGGGCTTTTTCCAGCACCATTTCATATAGATTGTAAGTTCTGCTTTTATAATGCTTAAAAATTGAAATTTGTCTTTGTTGACCCGTCTTCATTTAGGGGTTTAGATCACAAAACTCCATTAATAAAAAGTGATTTGATAATTACGGCATTTTCATGTAGAGGAATCGGGCAATATCGGTTTCTATCGCCGGAGACTTAATAAAATGTTAAATGAGTATGGCCATTACCTTTTTACTGATTTTTTTTTTCATATTTATATATGTTGACTTCAGTTCTCATCATGTGTAGTAATAACATGTTTATTAAAGAAAGAATTCAGTAAGGTGGCGAGAGTTGTCTTCGAAAACAAAATTACAGCAATAATCATTGCATAATTGAAACTCACTTCCGAGGTATGGCATGGTTTTAGATGGAAAATAGCGATGGCCCTCAGCGCATATGCTTGGGGGTAAATATTGGATTAAATCTGCTGGTGTCTTAATGCTCCATGAAGGAAAGCGAAAATGCCATAAATTCAATTGTCGTGAACGACTTCTCTCTTCGAAATCAGTAACAGGTTGATAAAAAATTAGGTGCTTTTTTCGCGTCCACATGTTGCCACGAAGGTCAGTTGGCCGAAGGAATTCAATATTTCGCAGTTACCGGTCGAGCAAGTTTTTAACTGGAAGCCCTCAAACAATACACTCATATTTATGTTTTGGATTAGATGGAATTTCCACGATGAAATATCAAATATCAGCTGACACAAAGCCCTCTTACTGTATTATTATCGAATGCCTTTCGAATTTTAACCCCGAGTGTACAAGTAATTTGAATATTTACCCCTTAAATTCTGCTCACCTTTCTATATTTCCTGTACATTCTTTCAACTGTTGTCAGGCAACAATGTCTTTATGATTTGCATAGCCAATTATCACTTTAAAGCCGTTGCTGCCAATAGGAGGCCTTGTTTTGACAGCTTTTGTTTCCTGCTGCGTCAAGAATTTACAGAAATAAAAATTATTTTTTAGGTTGAACTAATGACGTAACAAATCGAATATATCTGACAACGGGGTAATTCATTTAGTAGAGTGATTTGAAATTCTTCTTTCGTCGAGATATGTTTTGAGAGATGTACGTGTATTGTTAGACTACTCAATTGCTCTCTGTTCCATATTTATCCTGGCGAAAAACCATTAACATCTGTCATTCGTCGTGTTGTAACGGTCGTCCCTCTTGGGAATAGTGCTATTTTGTCTGAAACAATCCAAATAGAAAATCGAGTTCGCAAAGAGAGGAATGCTAAAAATTCACAGTCGGGGACTTCACAGTGTCGCTTGTTTGCAAACTTGCCCGATCTTCTGCGGGTGATAATGGTTTCTTCGTACTGACATTTCATATCCTTGAAAAACATTGAAGTGCCGAGCTATTTAGTTACAACTAATTCGATCACGTGACCTTTGCATTTCATACCGAACGCTGACCTAAGCTCTGAATATCATTTCAGTTGAATAATCGTCAACTGTGGAGCTAAAACCACAGCGTATTGTTACTTCGAGTTGTTTTTGGCCGTTGTAAGAGACGTTTCTGTGTAGATTTGTGCGCAAAATTCAAATCAGAAGGGATTTCAAAGCTATTTTCGTCGTGCAAAGCGCTGAACGGTTTGCGTTGTTGATTCCTTTGTTGGTGACTGGCGAATCGGGCTGTTAATGGCGTCGTTTAGTAAACTCAAGGCTTAGAATTCTACCAAAGGACCCATGGATGCGCCTGAAATGTTTCAGAAACCATCACATATTCAATGCAGGATGTAACATGGCTCGTTTTTCCCGGGATTTAGGAGGAAATGCGCTATGAATGACCCTCAGAGGACTTGTATTCTTCGGAATGCATGCCGATTTAAATTAGAACGATGGCGGTTTTACGTTGTGGTATTATGGACATTATGTGTGTTTGGTCTTCATCGTTGTTCCGTCAATGCATCGACAACAAATTCCATCTATTTCAATGTTACTGAAGGACTTCCAATAGGAACATATGTCGGCAATATAGCAAACCAGCCATACGACGTGGTATTACACATTCAACCTCAAGATGACTTGATCCTCGATTCAGTCTCCAAGAACATTACTACAAGAATTGTTTTAGACCGCGAAAAGATTTCGGGGTACGTTATTGATCTACTGAACCATAATCCGTTTCAAGTAACAAGTATTTTTATAAATGTCTCTGACATAAATGACAACATTCCAACCTTTCCCGTGAGTGTTTACGATTTTGAATTTTACGAAGGGAACCCTGTACTGGCGCACGTAAGAGCAATCGACGACGATCTTGGGTCATATGCGGTGCAAAACTACAGCATTGTTTCTGGAAATACAGATAACATGTTCGTTCTGATAGAATACCTTGACAGTGCCGGCCGTTTGAGAGCAAAAATAGAATTACAGCCTGGAAAACAACTCGATAGGGAACAGCGCGATTTGTTCAGTTTGAACGTGTCTGCCACGGATGGCGGCACACCACCACAAACTGGCTTCGGCTTAGTCAATATTACTGTACTGGACTTGAATGATAACGATCCTGTTTTTAACCCAAAATATTACACAGCTAACATCACCGAAAACTCTAAAGCGTTCACATCGATAGTGGAAGTGTACGCCACTGACAAAGATATCGGCAGGTATGGAAAAGTTTTGTATTCCGTTATTCATGATTCCAGCTCAGACCCTGACGGTTATTTCACACTACTAACTACTGAGAAAGGGGAAATAGTAAATGTTGCAATCCTCGATCGCGAGAAACAAGATCGTTTCTCGCTTCGTGTGCGGGCACACAATCCAGGCAGTCTGGGATATCACAAACACGATATAGCTTTCGTAACGATTAATGTTCTGGATGAGAACGACAACCCTCCAGAGGTCACCTATACATTTTATCTAGACGATGCCTTTCAAGTTTATGAGGATGCCAGCCCTGGAACTAAAGTGGCACGCGTTCGGGTCTCTGATAAAGATGCTGGTAAAAATGGGCAAATTGAGTCTGTGACGATTCAAGGTGGAAATGGACATTTAATTATTGATTATGATGCAGTACATGATATTCACGTTATTTCACTTGCTAAAGAATTGGATAGAGAAAAACAACCTACTTTTCCAGTTCACATTTATGCCAAAGACCGTGGCCAACCTCAACAAACCACACAGGATGGATTCATCTTTAATGTTGGAGACATTAATGATAACCATCCTAAATTTGATCAAGATGTGTTTACTGCTGCAGTGTCAGAGAATGCTACCATTGGCACAAGTGTTTTGGTTGCTCGTGCAACTGACAAAGACATAGGTTCAAATGCCAAGTTAGTTTATAATATTTCCTACAGTCCTCAAGCTGCTCCTTACAAATCTTGGTTCCAAATCAATCAAGCTACTGGAGAGATTCGCACAAGTGCAAGGCTGGATCGAGAAAAATTTCCTAGACTGGAGTTCCTCGTGACTGTCACAGACTCAGGTGTACCAGCTTTAGGTGCAAACTGTACCGTTATTTTGAACATTACTGATGCTAATGATAACAATCCTGTCTTTACAGAGGCTGTGTACTTTTCAACAGTTAATGAGAATTCAGCCAATAATACTTCTGTTGTGCAAGTTATGGCAAATGACATTGATAGCGGAATTAATGGTATGGTGCTTTACTCCTTGGAAACTCAACCTAGGAGTGTTCCATTTTCCATAGATCCAAACACTGGACTTGTTTCCTCTTCAGGACTAATCGACTTTGAAGCTCAGTCACTTTACCTGGTGAATGTTGTGGCATCTGATGGCGGAGGACGTTTTGATAAATCTATTTTGAACATTTCTGTGGTGGATGAGAATGATAACTATCCAGTTATAAATCCAACAACATACAATGTGTCAGTCTTTGAAAACCTGACCATCAATGATGCCATCGTAACAGTTTTGGCCAAAGATAATGATAGTGGCATCTTCTCACAAGTCAATTTTGCTTTTTCAAATGGGAACAATGATGGTATCTTTTTCATCAGTTCATCCTCTGGGGTGATTACTCTGATAAAACCCCTTGATCGAGAAACAAAGGACTTTCACCGACTTGAAGTTCAGGTTATGGATGGTGGTGGATTGAAATCTAAAAACTCAGCAGTTGTAGAAGTCACAGTTTTGGATGTGAACGATGAACCTCCTGCATTTGAACCAAGTGCTTACAAATTCACCATAATTGAAAACTCTGATATTAACTCACTGCTAGGTTCAGTGTATGCCTCAAGCAAAGACTTGGGGACAAATGCTGACATTTATTATTCAATCAGTGGTGGTGACATGCACAGAGTCTTTACCATAAACTCAACTGGAACAATTTTCACCCGAAGCAACATTGACCATGAAAGAAGTCCAGAAATGTTGCTTACCATTCAGGCAAAAGATGGTGGTGTACCACCTCTTTATGGCTTTGCAAATGTCAGCGTGACAGTGATTGATATTAATGACAATGCCCCTTCATTTGAAAGCAGTGTAATTGATGTCAATGTTCTGGAAGACACCAAAGTCGGAGAAGTTTTCTACAATGTTACTGCAAAAGACCCTGACAGTGGTCTGTTTGGTCGTGTAAGGTACACTCTTCTGTTCAACCCTAACAGCACCTTCCAGGTGAATGCGAGCACGGGTGCATTGACACTGACTCACTCTATCGACTTTGAAGGTCCAAGGCATTATATGATTAAAGTTTTGGCAGAAGATGGTGGATCCCCACCTTTGAATACAACAGCTACCTTCAGAATAACTGTCGTAGACGTGAACGACCACACTCCAGTATTCTCCAACTCGTCCTACTCTGCACGTGTCGACGAACTTACTCCAGCTGGGACTGACATCTTAAATGTAACAGCCACTGATGCAGACACTGGTAACAATGCATGGATCTCGTACAGCTTTCAGTCGGGTGTGGACACCAGTATGTTTGGCTTGAGGTCCAATGGATGGCTCTACATCACCAGAAAGTTAGACAGGGAGCAGCAAGATGTTTATCTATTTAAAGTGGTCGCCACAGACAAAGGACGTATTCCTAAAAGTTCGACAGCTGATGTGGTAATATATGTTGACGATGTTAATGACCACAATCCCGAGTTTACTCAGCAGTCGTACATATTCTCTGTGGATGAGAATCAACCAAACAGAACATTAGTTGGTCAGGTTCCTGCATCAGACAAAGATGCTGGTGCCAATGCGAGGATTTCATACACTTTCGAGCCCCCAAGCGTCGAGTTTGTAATTGATCACAATACAGGCATCATTAGAACTAATCAAGTTTTAAATCGAGAACAGCGCTCTTCCTACACGCTTATGGTGAAAGCGAGAGACCACGGTGCGAGTCCTAGAACAGACTATGCTAGCGTGACCGTTACGGTTCAAGATTTGAACGATAACGCGCCCACCTTTAAGAAACCGTTCTACGAGAAAGCTGTTCCGGAAGATATCCCCGTGGGGTCGTCTGTCCTAACTGTCGAAGCTTCTGATCCAGACGTAGGCTCCAATGGTATGATTAGCTACTTCTCTGCCAGTAATCCCAGTGTGTTTACCATAAATGCCAAGACTGGTGTTATCACCACTACAGCTCGATTAGACCGTGAGAAACACGAGCGTTATACGTTAAGCATCGGCGCCAAAGACCATGGAAATCCTAATCAATCTCACGTCGTGTTCGTCACTATTCATGTGCTCGATGTGAACGACAATCCACCTCGCTTTGTAAACAACAGCATCTTTGTAAATATACCCGAGAAGCAGGCCATTGGAACTGTCGTGACTACCGTGACAGCCAGAGATAAGGATACCGGAAACAACGGCAAAGTGCGTTACACCATCGATCAAGGTAACGGGGGAAAGGTGTTCGAAATCAACGCAACTTCCGGTGTTATCACCCTTCGCAAACAACTGGACTTCGAGAAAAAAAGCAAATATCAGCTCAGGATTGAAGCACGCGATCAGGGTCAGAACAGTCAGCGCAGCTACCTGTATGTTACAGTGTACGTGCTAGATTCGAACGACAACAGACCCACGTTCGAGATGAACCCTGTGACCGTGCAGTTACGGGAAGGCGTGCCTCCGAACTCCAACGTCACCACCATTAAAGCTCATGACTACGACTCGGGTCAGAACAGCTGGATTCGATATTCAATCGATTCTCAGTCGCCAGGGCCCCCAAAATTTAAAGTTGATCCGTCGACAGGCGTCGTTCAGACCATCGGAAGAATCGATCGCGAGGCAGTCGACGAGTACACTTTAAACATCCGAGCCACCGATCAAGCCTTTACAGAATCCGAGCGTTTATCGAGTACGTTGACGATTTTCATCATCGTGAGCGATGTCAATGACAACAAGCCGACTTTTGTGTCGCCGAACGAGACGTTTGTGATGGAAGACGAAGGCTTTCGTTACCCCGTCATCACAATCACCGCCATAGATGACGACCTAGGTAGCAATGGTGAAGTGACGTACAAAATAGAGCATGATGGGAATGGCGAAAGCTTTAAAAAGTTTGCCCTGAATGCGGACACGGGGCTGCTCGAGTTGCTGGGGACCTTGGACCACGAGACCACGCCCAAGTATGTTCTTAACATTTCTGTCACAGATAAAGGCACTCCTCCCCGGTCCTCCTTCCAGCTGCTGACTGTTTTCGTTGTAGATGTGAACGATAATGGACCGGAGTTTAACCAGAGCTTGTTCCTCGGCAACGTGAGCGAAAACCAGCCCGTGGGTACCCCTGTGATGACGGTCAGCGCGTACGACCTCGACAGCGGAGAAAACGGTGCCTTGACTTACAGTATTCCCAGAGGAAATTTGAATCACAAGTTCGCAATTAATGGCAGCAGTGGAGTGCTTTATACGAATTCGACGCTTGATCGCGAGGAAAAAGACGAGTACACTCTCACTGTTTACGCTACGGACAACGTTTATCCTCGTCGTGTGGGAACCTGCACAGTGAAAATTAAAGTTCTTGACGTGAACGACCACAGGCCCGTTTTCATTCCCTCTCGTCTTAATTTGACTGTTTTAGAGCACACGGCCCCTTTCGATTTTCACACGTTGAGAGCTCTAGATTCTGATATTGGACAGAATGGTCGCCTTCGCTACATTATTCAGCGTGGTAATGAAGACGTGAAGTTTTCAGTTGGAGAGTTTACGGGTGTACTTTCGACAACAGGTCAGCTCGATAGAGAAATTAAATCTCGGTACGATTTAGTCATAGAGGCAAGGAACGTCGTTGTTCCGTTTTATAACGCCAGTATTCACGTGACAATTTTTGTTGGCGACAAAAATGACAATTCGCCAAAGTTTGCGAACACCTCTTACAGCTTAAACATCCAGGAGCTTACCAAAATCGGTACTTCTATTCTCCGCGTGAAAGCCACGGACGGTGATTCGGGAAAGAATGGAGAAATCACGTTTTCTTTAAGTACTGAAGCGCTGGGTATTTTCCGTATCGATTCCAAATCAGGAACTATCTACACCTTGCAAGAATTTGACTACTACACCAAGAACGTTTACAACTTTCTCTGCCGGGCAACGGATAAAGGAGTGGCACCTAGAGAGACATCGGTTGGAGTGACGGTGTCAATCATCGACGAGAATAACCACGCCCCTGTGTTTGAGAAGATACCTTACGAGGCTACTATCGCATCTGGTTCATCTGTGACACAAAATACCTTAGTGACAGTGCACGCTAAAGACAAAGATTCTAGCTCAATAACCCATATGACCTATAGGCTTGCTAATAGTTCGCATCGGTTCTTTCAGCTGGAAAGTAACAGTGGAAGTGTAAGAGTTAAACCAGGTGTCTCTAATATACCCGACGGAGCTTATGTTTTGAACATCATCGCTGATGACGGTGGTAACTTGACCGGGAGAGGTATTTTGGAAATTATAGTTGGAAGCGCCGCGGTCAACCGACCAAAATTCGTCAACAGCACGCCAGTGTTCGTTTCCCTGCCTGAGAACAGCCCAAAGGGTCGCGAAGTGGCCCGAGTACTGGCAAATCCATCGAACGATGTGGTGTACAGCATAGTCGATGGTAACAGTGGTAACGCTTTCCGTATCAACGCCCAAAACGGCATCATGACAGTGCAAAACCCGGCCTACCTCGATTTTGAAAGATTGCGTTACTTCAGCCTTCGCATCATTGTGTCACGAAAGAGCCAACCGTCAAGAAATGATTACCTAACACTGCAAGTGAACCTAACGGATGTAAACGACAACAACCCAGTCTTTTATCCCGCAAATATTTCTGTTCAACTGTCGGAGGATGATGCATTGCAGTCCAGCAGTTTTACATCAAGGACTGTGGCTAATCTTTCTACAACAGACAAGGACTCTGGGAAAAACCAGGAAGTGACCTACAAGATCATTTTTGGGAACGTGGATCGTAAGTTTGTCATTGATGCACAGCATGGTGTACTTACTACCAATGGTATCCTTGATCGCGAAAAGCACCCAGTTTACGATTTGGTTGTTAACGCGACAGACAAGGGAACCCCATCTAGGTCCAGTTTAAGCCATGTGGTTGTCAACATTGTCGATGTCAACGATAACATCCCAGCCTTCTCAGGGCCGTATTCAGTGAACGTTAACGAAGATCTAAGAGTCGGGTCCCTCGTTAGGCGCGTGGCTGCCACTGACAAGGACAAACATCCAAATTTGATGTATTCTTTTGGCAACGGCAAGACTAGTTATGATGTGTTTCGCATCGATCAGTTGACAGGAGAGATAACCTTGTTGGAATCCTTGGATTACGAGCGTAACAAGTCTTATGAACTAAATGTAACTTGTAGCGACGGCCGTTACAAGTCCCACACCACAGTGACTGTTAACGTGAAAGATGTGAATGACAATGCTCCGAAGTTCTTGGAAAGCTCCTATCAGGCCACACTTTCAGAAGAAACTGCCCAAGGTACGTCCATCTTAAAAGTTAGCGCTGAAGACAAGGACGATGGCTCAAACAGAGAACTGAGATACGCGTTCGTGACCTCTCTAGACGTGTTCCGTATAAATGCTACCTCGGGTGTCATCTACACGGCGAAAAAGATCGAAACTAGTGATCGAGAATCACTTTACTTCGTCGTGGTTTCGGCCATTGACCGAGGGGTGCCTCAACAGCGTGCTTTCGTAACGGTGCAAATCCGAATCAACCGAAAACCAATGTTTAGGGAGCCAGCGTATAAAAAGAGCATTGCCGAAGACGCCCCACCTGGCACTACAGTTCTGACAGTCTCCGCCGCCGATGACTCAGGAATGAATGTAGCCAAGATAAGCTACAAGTTTAAATTTGGAAACTCAGAAAATCTCTTCCGGATCGGACTTCGAAGTGGAATCATCGAAGTGAACGATTTTGGCTTGGATTATGAATCGGAAAAGAATTACTTAATGGGTGTTGAAGCGCGAGATGAAAGCACAAACAAGAGTGTTGTTGTGGAGGTGAACATTACTATTACTGACGTCAATGACAATTCACCAGTCTTTGATCCGACGGAATATGTCAAAGAAGTGTACGAAAATGTATCGATCGGAACGACTCTTGTCCGAGTAAATGCGACGGATAAAGACTCCGGAGCCAATGGGCGGCTGGTGTTTTCCATTTCCTCAGGAAATGACAAGCAGTCTTTTAGAATAAACAGTAGGACTGGTGAAATTGTTACGATCACGAGTTTGGACTATGAGAGTATTAAGGAACATGGATTGTCGATACAAGCCAGTGATGAAGGTAAGCAAACTCAAATCTTAGGTTTTAACGATAAGTCTCCGAGGAGAGATGAAATTTGCAGCTTCACCGTGCAATAAAAAAGAAAACGCCCTCCAAGTAAAATCTTACTTAATACTTCGCCTAGTTTTTTAGAGGTGATCAGCTGAACATAAGTAAGAAAATTGCTTTTTTGACAAAGAGGCTAAAGATCAAACTAAATAAATGAAGATGTAACAAACTTCTTAACCCTTTCACTCCTAAGATCCAATTAGTAATTCTCACTACTATCTGCCATACAATTCTTATGAGTTTAGTTCGGAGAATTTGGTATTGAATCACTACTGAAGTTCAGATATGTTGCTCACGGCTGGGAGACAATCTCAAACCGTTTTCTTTTGTTTTTTCTTTATAAACATTTTTAGGTCTTAAGCCAAAGTCAAAGGTTGCATCTGTGCGTATCAAGATACGCGACGTGAACGATAACAAACCCGAATTTCACATACCACATCCCGAAGATGTCGGAGTGGAAGAAAATTCCCCCGTCGGAACATTCTTTTACGAGCTTAACGCGAAAGACAGGGATTCAGGCGAAAACAGCGTCGTTATGTACAGCATCATTGGAGGGAGTGGACAAGGTCTGTTTATCATCGAAAGCGACAGCGGAAGGCTCAGCACTAACGCTACTTTCAATTACGAGGCTCGTAATCTTTACTGGCTGCTAGTCAAAGCCGTGGATGAAGGGAAACCTCCTTTAGATAACACGGTAAATTTAACAGTGAACATCAAAAGCGTGGACGAATTTCAACCTGCATTTGAAAAGTCGAGCTATGAGTTCAAAGAAGTTCCTGGAAACGCCAAAATTGGTTACGTTGTCGGTCAGGTTGTCGCGTCCGACGAAGATGACGGCGAAGATGGCCGCTTGCGTTATTCCTTCGACTTTGTCAGTTTAGATGTGTTTGCGATAAATGAAACCACTGGAATTATCTTCGTCAACAAGTCGCTCAGTGAAGTGAACAACAAACGGCGAAAACGAAGAAGTGTCGAAGAAACCGATGATGTATCGATCGGATCACGGAGGTTTCGAAGAGAGATTGACGTGACAAAGGTCAAGCTTCGCGTGCAGGTAGACAGTGGTAAGCCAAACTCGTTCAAGGGGCTGGCATCGGTAGAGTTTGGAATTGATTTTGCTTGCGCCGAATGTGCAACTACGGAACAAAGAGGTGATGGCGATGACAAAGGAATATCCAAAAATACCTACATTATTATTGGCCTAGCAATCTTAGTAGTGGTAATTTTGATTGCTTTCATCGTCATGGCGGCCATTATTTTACGCAAGAAGAAGAAGAAAAGAAGTCGTCAGCATCCTCGCTTGCGTTATGATGGTTCATTCGATGAGATTACGGTGTATTCAGCTCCAAATGGGAATATCAACCACTTGGATTCATCCCTAGAGAATGTTTCTACGCCTCGCGGTGTCTCTCAGGAAGGTTCGCCTCTGAACGGCCCGAGTGACTCACCGGCTTGTGGAACCGACTCTTCGGATACACCGAATAGCGCGTCGAGCGGCCGAGGTTCTTCAGAAGGTGTTGATTTTGAAGACGGGCGTCATCCGGTGATCGTAAACGGAGATATTGGAAGTTTACACTCCGAGAATTATGTCAAAACTGTTGTGGGACCTGATTCGGGAATTCAGCAGGATTCTGATCAAGTTTCTCAACTTACAATCAGCGACGCAAGTAGCATGATGCAAGGGGAAGGTTTGGCGATTGATAAACACTCGGACAAAATCGAAAAATTGCTGGCACGGCTTGGAAGTCAAGAAAGTCTCCATGTCTTCGGCGAAGAAGGAGGTGGAGAGGCGGACGGTGGAGTTGACGTCAGCAATTTGCTTTACGCCAAGCTAGCCGAAGTCGACGCCGACGAAGATGAATCGATTATTGATGGGATGCGACCGTTTGTTGAAGAAGGACACGATCATCCTTCGTACGGTGGATCGTTGAGTTCGATTGTGGGTAGTCGGGAAGAGCTGACAGGAAGCTACAACTGGGATTACCTTCTGGACTGGGGCCCGCAGTTCCAGCCGTTAGCGGATGTTTTTCTTGAAATTGGTAAAATGAAGGACGATGCACATCCAAAGAAAACTGTGAGTTTAAGCTTGCCTTCGAGTCGTGATTCCCGAAACCCTCCAACAGGGCTAGTAACAACGGACATGCTTTCTTCGGTGTCTTCACTTCCGCGCTCACCCATTAGTCCTCCTTCCACACGGTACACTTCCCCTGCATTCTCACCGAACTTTACTCCGGCCATTACGCCCTTAGTAACTCGTTCTCCTTCAGTTTCTCCTTTGGACACAGGAGCATCAACCCCGGCATTTTCTCCCACTTCAGGGACCACGCCCAAATCCGGTTCTCGGCCGTCCTCGATGCACGTACCAGTACTGCACCTGCGCAGAGACTCGCACGATGGATCAAACTCAGACTTGACTCATTCGCCGTCCATATCAGACAATGAATCTAATTTAGAAATCGATGTATAGCGAATTTATTTTGTAAAGATATCGTATTATAACTTTGCGCTCTGGAAGGCTCCTCTTGCAATTTCGACATCATATGCTATTTTTTACGATAAAGGAAATTCATATCTTGGTTTTATTCATATGCATAAACTTTTAATAATGAACCTGACAGTGATTTCAAGAGCTCTTTGATGTGAGAAATCGTTGCGTTTTTAAATTTTTCAGCAGACATGTACTTCTGGAGGTTCAAGTTGCGGTAGATTCTCGCCTTACAAAACATTTAATATCGTATAATATATTGTGCAGTGTTGCCATCTTGGTTTTATTCATATAGAGAACTTTTTTTTAATTTAACCTGACAGTTATTTTGAGAGCTCTTTAATGCGAGAAATCTTTGCGTTTTTAAAGTTTGCAGCAGACATGTACTTCTGTAGGTTTTTTGTTGCGAAGATCTTCACTCCACAAAACATTTCATATCGTATAATATAAAGTGCAGAGTTCTTTCTATTTTTGTACATAAAGAAATTCTGCGCTGTTTTTTTTTTTAAAGAAAATTTCCTATAATGTTTATAATTACGGAGCGATTCAGAATATTATAAATTTAAAGAAACAGAGCGTGTGCAAGTAAGGTTGGTTTATCTGTAGCTTCCTAAAGTGGGAAGGTTTATCCGTGAAAAATAGAACGATTTTGTACATGGAAATGTTGTAGTTGTGTTTGACTATCAACGAGGCCGATCATACGAAGTTGAGGCGAGGGTAATCGACGGGCAGTATTCTGCCCTCTTTTCCAACCTGTCAACTTTTTTCTATCGCGAAGAAAGCCTCAGTTGTTGATTACTGTAGCTGAATGACGTGCTTAGAAGGTGGAAGGACAGGGTAATTGAAATTAAGCACGATAACAGCACAGTGTTAGCTAAAACCTCCCTTGCATTACCTACGAGATCAAAGCAGACTTAGATGGGGCAACAACCCTCCTTCAAAGTCCTTTTAGGGCAGGGCCAATCCCATATTGGGAATTTTTAGCCCTTTCTTTCCAACTTTCTCTGAACGTTGGTTCCTCTTCCTTCGTATCTTAACAAAGCCGCAGCAGTATGCTCCGCACTGCCCAGCTCGCAGGAAAGTACTTTACAAATCACCTCATCGTCTCGGCGCAGTCTCGTATTAGGCGCGCGTGTTTCTCGCGTGTTGCTATCTGGCCTGGTCACTCAGTTTTGTTTTGCCGCCATATTTCATTTGTGTAAGTAGAAAGAGGGCTTTCTCATATGAACCTTTTTGAGATTCAAAGTTGTCATTCGTTCTAAAATTCCTCATGCTTAGAGGTAAGAAGTGAATTTAGCCATAAATCGTTTGCTAGAAGTTTACATGGTTATAATACTGCGAAACGGGCAGTGGTTATATTTTCAACGTCATCCGTTATCTACCTCAAACACACGGAAAAATTAAATATTTTTGTAGTTATATAAAGTGGTACCACTGAACAGACATACGTAGAAATGAACTTTCTTTGTAGCTATAGATAACAGTCACCAAAGGAAAATGGGATTTTAGATGTTTTTTCGCTTGTTTTCCCATTTAGCTTGGCAATGGTAAGTAATTAAGCGAAGTAAGGTACTGAAGCTTGCCAGGCTTCCTCAATAACACGCTATTTTACGTTACATTTAGAATGGATGGCGTGTTCTCTCATGCAGATGAGAAACCCGATCCTCCCTCCCCAGACCAAAATCTTTTCACTCCACCTCACACAGCCAGGGATGCAACCTCTGGTATCTCTAGTTCTGAGAGGAGACAGTACAACAAAGCTCTAAAAGCTATGTATGAGATTGTGCGTTTGGGTTCCAAACAATTGGAGCGTTCACTAGCTGAGGGTGATGGTGTAGTTCCTGAAACTGTGACAGAAACTTCTGAAACTGAAGATGATGTTGATGGTTTGTGGTTTGCATTCTAAGATTTGTTAACAACCTTGTTGTGACTTTACTTAGACATAAATGTTAACTGACTCATGCAAAAACTATGATTAGCTTTTGTGACAAGCTGAATGATACACACATTTTCAGTGGTTCTTTCTTATGATATATTGGAAGACAGATACATGGATGATGTCACCGTCAACAACAATTTGCTTTTCTATCTTATAAAACAAGTTAACTCCATGTTGCAGAGGGTCTGTATAGATCACAGAAGATATCAAAATGTGGCATTAATTCTTTGACTCCCAGATCAAATTTATCATTCTCCTTACTGTCAACGATACAATTCATATAATGTTAGTTCAGAGAATCTAGTATTGGATCAACTGATTATCCCCAAATTGATATTTTTCTTCATTCTCATCACTCATCTGGTTGATATTGAATTGATATTATAAGGAGAAATTCTGTCTTGGTCACTCATAGGAGTTAAAGGGTTAAAGACTTTGCTTATCCTAACAGTATGCAGGACGCATGTGATAAATGAACTTTGTAATAGTCTTTATTCACCATAAAGTCTCTGTAGCTCAGTGGTAGAGCATTGCAGTGCATAATGCATAGGTCTGAGATTCAATTCCTTATGTGGACTCAGAATTTTTTCTCTGCCCTATGCTGCTGACAAGACAAAAAAAAAACATCTTTCTCTATTTTGTTACCGAGCTCAAAACTTACCATCTCTCTTATTCTATTCACAGTAGATATCAACTTAATAACATCACACTGCCTTTGATTTTTGAAACATTAGATAATGAAGACTATTCCTCAGCTCACATGAAGTCTCTAAGTTCTCATGCAAGACAAAGACCAGCAACAAAATCATATGATAAAGATGTAAGTTGTGTGTTTGGCAGAAAATCCAGTTGATTTTGTATTTCATTATGCAACCAGTGACTCCAAATGCTTTAAAAAAAAAAAGAGGACAGGAGAATCATGTTAAGAATTTTCTATTCATTATATGTAGCATCAATCCAAATTTATCTCATATTTGCTTGGTACTTGTTGTTATTTTTTCAAACTTCAATTGTACTCAAACCAAACATTTAATTTGGTAATCTGGTGAACTGATCACTCTTTTATCCCTTTCACATCCAAGATGAAAATATCAGTACTCTGCACTGACTGCCATACATTTCTTATAATTTTAGCTTAGGGAATTTTGTTTTTCACCCCAGTATTTCCCCTGGTTGACATTATTTCTATTATCACCTTTCTGCTGTGCAACAATGTCTTTGTAGGTCATTCTGGGTGGTGAAAATATCATGCGAAAATGCTCAAACAATCAGGGAAAAGGATGGCGGGGAAATAGGGAAAGGGAGATGCTTTTTTGAGGGAAAGTGCTCGTTGAAAAATTTTGTTCAACAGAAGGGGCGCTTATTTGAAGTGGGAGCTTCTTTGAAAGGATGCACAAATTCAGGGACTTATGACATTCAGCTAAATGGCCTAGTGTTAAAGATGTGGTCTGTGTAAGCTCCTTGAGTAGTCAGTTATCATTTATGATTACACATTTGCAATGAAAACTCAGATTGGTCGAGAGCATGCAGTCAATACATAACAGCGTGCTAAGTTGACGTGATAACCCAATATCTACAGAAGCTGTTGGGTCATCATGTCAAGTTCAAGGTCTGCCTAGTTTCCAAGCCTCTCATTTGTGTAGTGTTCTCAAGCTCTTGCAAACTCAGAGAGAAGTGTCTTGTTCTTAATTTGCAGATTGGTTTAACCTGTATAATAAAACAATTTTGTAAGATGTCATGCTCAACCTCATCCAATAATTGCTTATTATCTGATAAATAGTTTTCTCTTCCAGCTGTGCTACCTTTCTAGGTGTAATCAATTGGTTAACTTGGTTTTTTATCAGGAAAACACCCTCAGCTATACTGTATTTGATAAGTTTATGAGTTCTTGTGACTTTTCTGCTTGATTTGATATTGTAACAAAAAGTAACATGAAACATTCAAAGGAATTAAATACCAGAATGTTGCCATTGATTAAAAAAATCTGTACTGTTTAACCTCAGAGGCAAGACATTTTATTGCTGTAGGTGGTTACTTATTGCAATTCTTTTACTGAAGGTAGAGCATCATTTGGAGGCAGAAAATGTGAGAAGGGTACACAAAGAACTGAACAAGATTAGCATGATGCTGCAGGTTGGTGCTAAGCAGTTTTTTTACAGATATAAAATTACCATGACTCACCTTGAGTCTGCAAATAATGCCTGGTGGCTGAAATTGCCTTTGCATTTCCTGGTTAGCTTACTCATTTTTGGGTGTGAAGGATTAATGGGCAATTAATCCTTCACACAGTGGGAAGATGACCTAGTTTTACAAAGTTAGCGGAACATTTACAGGAAGCCATTTTAACGTAAAGTGAAAAAGAAATGAGCTTTAAAATGGCAACAATCATCATGCCATCATGCAAAGCAGCTTTCCTGCCAAAGAGCATGCTCGGCAAAAATGTGTGCACATAGTTTTTGACACATTGCATTGCCAAAGTTAACCTATCATGGTTTTCATTAAGTTGCATGCTTCAAACACTCATGGAGTATGTGTGTTTTCTATACTGTTCTGTATACATATGTCAAGGGGCTGACAAGGAGAATTTGTGGAAACAATCATGAGGTTTTTTAGTTGGTGATCATGTCTGTTATTCTTGGCTACTCCCCATTGATTGGATAAGTAGGTCAAGCTGGTCTGTCAGCATTTTGCCAGGTTTCCCTAGCAATCCTACATGGAGAAAAGCTTTGATATTGTGTCAGGGGTTTACTGTGTGTGGGGCCAATTATTGAAAAATGATGCTTCAGTATAAATGTTTTGTCTTTTCCACTCATTGCTTTATGTTTGTTGGCTTAATTTTGTCGACTGAGGTAATTATTATGTACCAAGCAAAAATGTTGTGAGGGGTTCCATAATGAATTTGTTCTTTTTGTGTGTGTGTGTGAACAGAAAGAAAGTGAAGCTCTTCATAAACGTGAAGTTCAGTTACGTGAAAGGGAGAGGGCATTACGAGATGCAGAAAAGCTCAGCCACACAACTGACATTATTATTGACAAAGTGGTGACTCAAGAGGTTGAGAATCGCTGCCAAGCTGTAACTGAGGTGAAGTTTTTTTCCTGACTACATGTCAATGTCAATGGCTGGTTTGAGTACCATCTTTGATTTTATGATAAGCTGAGTTGCACAAGCAATTTGATTGGTTCATGCTTATGATCAGATGGATAGATGACATTACCATTAACCCTTAACTCTGATAAGTGACCAAGACAGAATTTCTCTTTATGATATCAATACAATATCAAGCAAACAAGTGATGAGAATAAAGAAAAATATCAGTTAGAGGATTATTAGTTGATCCAATACCAAATTCTCAAAACTAACTTTGCAAAAACTGTATGGCAGACAGTGAGGAGAATTACTAATGAGATCTTGGGAGTTAAAGGGTTAAAAGACCTTTTCCTTTTTAATCATATAAAACAAATAGATTCCATGCTGTGGGTCTGTTCAGTAATAGATCAAAAAAGACATAACACTGTGCTAAGAACATCAGTGATACACTCCTGAGTGGCACCTTGTGTGTAACTTTTTTGTTCTTACCATATTTTAATGTCATCAGCTGTGATCTACTACTGAACAGATGCACGGCAACTTGAAATCTATTTGATTTGTAATTGAAAAGCTTTAGGAGCTTAATCAAGAAAGAGCAGTTCATATTGATGTTTGTCATTGAGAAGAAAAAAATTT